GTTCTATCCGGAGAGTCAGATACACGCTCAACCGAGCGGTAAATCTTTAGATGCGAACCACATATGATAAGTGAAATTATAAATTCTGAGAACGGAAAGCTGTTAAGTGTACAAACTGGAGGGATAAAGGAAATGAAGAAAACAGTTAAATTCCAAAACTTTTAACACCGTACGTGAAGATCTGTTTATTGTTAACTACAATATGTGCAAAAGAGAGAGCCGTAGAGTGGCGATATATGTTTGACTGTGGAACCACTCGATGAGTGAGTGTACTTGCAGCAGCTGAAACAGAACATGATTGGAACTAAAAAGCTTATGCGTAATTTGACTCAAAAACAGTAACAGAGCTGACTTTAAATTCGATCACGAAAATTTCGTTTCTCGAATGAAAATTGTGCCCGGTTAATCAGTGAACGATTGCGTTGAAGTACCGATTCCCAATTCACTACCGTCAACAGTCAAGCTTATTCCTTAAACACACGCGTATCATTCCTCACCGCACGCAATCGAAAGAACAGGGTGGGGTCGGACTAACCCACAGTGTTTCAATTAGTGTAAACTCATGAAGATGTCATGTAAAACAGTGGATTGAGTTGGGACATGGATCATGAGCTTCATTTAGTATAACACACGTAAACAGATCTTTTCGTGGAAATTCGGGGAATACACGCTACCCTGAAACATCTGTTCAAACATAAACAGTATGTAACGTGCACCAGCAGTAGAGCAGCACATAGCCGATTGTGTATCGATCAGCGAGCACGTTTGGAAAACAGACATGGATCGATCAATGTGATCTTTTGTGTGTGGAAAGTGCTAACTGACCTCGACACGGTTTGAGTGTGAAACTCCAGCAGCACTGTCGCACCACACGTAGCATATACATACACACACACAATCCACACTTGGAAACGGCAGATAACAGATTGTGATGGCAAACTAACTACTTCGGTTCCAACGTACTGAACACGAAGCAAACTCCTGATGNAATGCGGTCGGTGTCTTTTCGTTTTCCAGACTCCCGGTCCTAGCCACCTGCTGAACTTGTGAATAAGAGTAGGATAGAAGAGGTTAATGTGTGGAATTTAATAACCACAGAAAGTGACCCCTCAGCACAATGGCCAGTTGATACCATTAGTTGAAATAAAAGCATTAAGACCCGAAGCCACACCAGTTAGAGGATGTCATGCAGAACCTCAAGAATAATTCAAACAGAAAATTAGTGTTCTAGTATCAGATTAGCAAACTGAATAGTGACCCCCCAATTTAATAGAAAATCTAATACAACAAACCCAGTTTGAGAACAAAAATTAACTAGAACGGAAACTCAGCAAGATTTCCGTGGGGAAAATAAACCAAAAACACGACGGTTCAAATGAAAGCCGCAACGAATCCTTGTGCTGATTGGAAGCTCCTGTAAACAGCTACTGAATGGATCAATGCACAGTAAACGGTACACCAAAGCGAAGCACGCTGCCGACGTGAACATACAGGCCAGATGGGATTCAATTCTTGCTGCTACATAAGGCAGGCAAGCACCGCGGGTGAACCAAAAAGCCTCAGTATGGTCGGGAGTGGGTGTCTAGGGTGGCGGCTGGTCACTCTTCCTTTGCACCTCGCTTCCATACGACCAAGCGTCTCCAATAGTATCTGCTGAGAAAGCCCTGCGCACTAACTTCTAGTGGGTGTTTTCCCAACAAAACGAGATGACGAAAAGCCGAAATCCGGGGCTATAACCGGGTCTAGGAGAGTTTGTGAGATGCACTTTTAGCTTATGAATCGTTAATTGATTGAGATATGCCGCAATTCCCGAAAATCACAGGATCGGTCGGATAAGTCATCGCAACAAGAGTCCTGACGCCTGCCCACCTAACCCGAGCGAGAAACCATACCTTGTTTACAACCTCAAGTCTTTAGCAGACCCAGTGAACTTCGGCTGTACAGCAGGCGTGCTTTCACCACACGAATGGAAGTACATGATAAAAAGATCATCACAAAAATACAGGACAACGTGAAACGATGAAGTAATCGAACTATCGTACTATCCACATAGCAAAATGACATCCTCGATTGATAATCGGACACCTTAAATCGAAAAAGGTGTGGTTTATGAATCACGTGTTGAACTTAGTCCGACCAACAACAGTCATGATGAACGCATCAACCGGTTTGAACACACACTGGTAACAACAACAAAAGCGAGGACTACGTGTATACAAGCGTTCATGATACACTTTTTTCATTGGAAAATGATGAATTGATTACAAAGCGAACCATCAGTTTGAACATGAGAAGGAAGTCAATGTTATGAGTATATCCGTAACAGATATTTCACTCATTTTAGATGTTATTTCCTTCTCACTGCATTCGAACTGGTTTACCTTTGTTTTTCATGAATGGGATAATATTAATCTGATTATCATAGCCAAAACAGTTCCATATTACGGTGGACGTCATATAATCAACTTTGTGGTTGGCCTAACTAGGCAGTGAATGAGGCAACTTTGATTTGGTCTACCGCTATGAGGAAAAAGCACGGACAGTTCCCAATGGTGGAGAGTATCGGACGTAAGAATCCAGCAATCCAGCTAGCACAAAGGTGGCTTTGGTGACCACTAGCAAAAATGACCACATTCGAGTGCCTCACATTTTAGTTCAGTGCACCATAGAATTACAAAAAAAAACTTCGCAGATCAGAAAAACGTGTTTTTAGTAAAACCATAAATTGTCGTTTGTTTCAGCTCGATTCTCCGTTGGAAATCAACAAACGCGCTGTTTAAATCAATTGTGCACTTCAATAGTCGACTCGAACTCCGAGAATTAGCCAAGGCAAAGAGCTTCAATTGATCCAATAACTTCTGTGCCTGTTTGATTGAGATAACTTCCGATGCATTCACTGTCTCACATTCATCTTCTTTGCAATGCTTAGCTTGATTCGAAACGAATTCATCTAATGACTAAAGAGAGACTTGATACAAAAATTTTAAATGACCCACTTCCTGATCATCAAATTCCAAACAGGCGATTTCTTCTTCAAAAAGACGGTCATCAATAGACACATAATGAGTAAAGTCCTCGATCAAATCGCATTTATCTTCTGGTGGCTGCATCAATGTGGATTTGAACCCAGCTTTCATGAAAGCGTTGATCAGTACGTGCAGGTGCACAGACACCCAAGCTTTCTTGACCAGATGCCTGACCATGAGAATGTCCACCTCGGCTTTCATGATACGTTGCTCATCTTCGATCAAAGACGAAACATATTCCAGTAAATGTTTTCGAAACGAATATTCGAAAGACCAAATCACGCCCTGATCCATTGGTTGTAACATCGAAGAGCAGTTCGGAGGCAGCCGTACCAATTTGAGGTTTGAAAATACTGCAGCTTGGTTATGGCAAGGGGCGTTGTCATAAGTAGTAAAATAGATCGTCTTTGAGAAAACATTTTGCGGTTGAAATCGGACAGCCAACTGTGAAATAACTTAGAAGTCATCCATGCGTTCTTTGAAGAATTATAACTGCATGGAAGGTTTTTTCTATCTATACCTCGGAGGCACCGTGGAGTTTGAAACTTTCCAATCACCAACCTTTTCTCCAGTCATGCTCCCACAAAGCAGTAACGTGACTCTCTCTTTGGATTTCTTGGACTCAGAAACTGTCTTTGCTTTCAGACTCAATGTGGGTGGGAGCTGCCTGTAATACAAAGCTGTTTCATCTACATTGAAAATATCACAGTCAGCATATCCTTGTATCAACTGCGGTAACCCCGCACGTCCACTGCATCACGTAGTACCGCTAAACTTTCACCACATACCTATGAAGTAAGGTACATGAGTTGCTTGTTTCTTACTTTGTGCGACTGAATACCATCCATATCTGTCTGACCAAGAGCGAAACCAACCTTTGGAAGCCTTGAAATTAGTATGATGGAAGATTGGGCTAGCTGAATTCCCTACTTACGTACGATGCTCTCCACCATTGGGAACTCTCCGTGCTCTTTCCTCATAGCGGTAGACCAAGCCAAAGTTGCCTCATTCACTGCCTTGAACTTTTCGTTAGTTTTCAGGTGGCATTTTCCCTCAGATGCTGCAGCGTTCATAATTTCCGCGATAGTCGTTTAATGTGATACAATATTGTAAATTTCTCGTGACTTGGCTACGGAACTCTGAGTTGCACCTGGCTGTTTCAGCATTTCCAACACATTCTGCTTCTCTCTGGTCGATAGGTTCTCTATGGAACAAACCCAGAAGCTGCGACAAAAACCATTGAGATAACTTGCTCACACGCGGGACCGGGTGGGAGAAAAGGCGGATATAAACGGAACACAAGAGAAAAGAAATACAGTATTATTATTATTATTATTAACGGATCAAGTAGCGTCAATTGTGTTTTGCACTGAGTGTGGACGAACAATTTCGGCGTTTTAGCAAACAACCGACAAGACCGACAACACTGTGTGTGTGTGTGTGTGTAAAGTGACAGAAAGAATAAAGAGTTTAATTCGAACTGAACAGTGGCTAGATCATAATAATGCGTACCGGGAATAAACACATCGGGTAGACAAGGGTTGTTAGTGAACGGAACAGGGCACAGCTTCGGACAAAGTGAGCATGATAAAGACGAGGGGGAGAGGGGGATTCCGGTCGAGAAATTGACAATCAATTGCCATCGAGAGAGAGGAGGACATTAGCGCGTGGNGATGCTTGGGAAAGAAGACGGGGCACGGATAGACATACAACAAATAGAACATATCGAAATCAGATGCGGAATCGTATTCACACAACACAGGGGATTCAGATATCAAAGCTGCGCCTAGTGACGAAAAAGTGAAGTGTAGTGAACAGTACAAGACCAAATAAGATGCATGTTAGCCACTTAGCCCAGGTGGATTTATCTTTCTCATTCAACCGTACAAGATACAAGAACGGATGCACCGAGGTCATAGGTCAATTGGGAATGCAGAACCCAGAAATAATAACTCGATCCAGTGTTGGAGCAGATTAGATGTCTTCATCACCCAGATGTCTTGTCACTTTGCTGAAATCGAACGGTTTCCCAGTGATTTTTTCGTACAGCTCGAGGACATCATCACATGTGCTTTCGAAGTGTGTGGATGCGTCATAGCTCTTCGAAATGAAAATCTAACACCGGTGGTGGAACAAAAAACCGAAACAATGGGGGGAATACAGTAAAGCATCACTTGTAAGTGGACAACAATGCTGTTTTGCATAGACCTTCTGGATGTTTAAGTATCAATAGTCAGACAATTCTACAGATCTCATTTACGAGGATGTTACTTTCGCGGTGTGGCTGAAAAAAACCCAAAAGGATGAAGATACAACTACTAATAGGCATCGTCAAATAAATTGTGTCATCCGAATCGGTAGCTTTATGTGAAAACATTTCAACAAAATTTAGTTTCTTGCGACACAGACATGCACCCCGTGCTTGAGAGACAGAGGCGCATGAGAAGAGACCACGCGGGCTTACATCGATCTTAAAGCTGTGTTCACCAAACTGAGGATGAAAAGTGTTAATGGTGCATAACATATCTCCTTGTTCCTTGCACGAGCCTGGTGGGGTAACCGAACGAGTAATTCTGAGGCTAGGCGTAGAGATTTAGACAGTCGCGGTCATCCATTGGAGCAAGTAATCGACCTCCATCGATTACGTTGGTTAGGGCATGTGTTACGCATGTCACCAAACAGGTGGCCACGGCGAGTGATGTTTGCCGAGGCAGGTGCGGTTAGAAAAGGGTCGAGGGTGGTCAAATTACGACCTGGCACGAGGATATGAAAACCCTAACCAGGAGACTAGGTCATATAACTCCCAAAAGGCTCCCTGGCTGGGGACCCCAAGATCGTAGTCACCGATGGTTAGAGACACTGAGCGATATGGCTGTCGCTAACGGTGGCGCTCGTGCATTCACTCATTATTCTCCTAACACCACTCGATACGAATTCTCCATCTTCCGCTTGAATTTGCTTTCAACATTCCAATCTTCATTCTGCATGTTTTATCCAAATAGGGCACCCAAAGACAACAACCAAAACCAGCGCACGAAAGTGCATGGTTAATGGTTGTAAAAACTGAACGGAACTGAACTTGTTCCACAAATTAATCACACTGAACAAAACCGGCAATGGAATCCAACAACACAACACTTACCCGACTCTCTCGGCCATCATCAGTGGGTTCGTACAAATCGTCTAGCGAGTACATCACTTCGTCGATTGGAGCCAACAGATCCAGGCCAGGTTTTAGCTCCTGTCGTGGCATAGGAGTTTCTACTGTGGTGGCGACCAAAGCGACGTAGAATTTCTCGGGGCATACTTTGTGTTGGCTGGATACACACGAGACGTAAATATCTGATGAGCACAAATTATTAGCAATGGTGTATCAGTCGCTTACCGTGACGCCTTCCCACTTCATTTTGTGGAATGATGATTTGAAGAGAGTTGGCATCCTTCGCTCCGCTGACAGGATGCGACAAAATACAAATTGCACGAATCACCTGGGATAAAACACAAAACAATAAGCAAAAAAATTAAGGTTTTATCGCCTCATCCGAAGAGCAATATGCTGCGGGAGCCCAAATACGTGATAAATAGCAGACATTTTAAAGGAAATCCCCGGCCATAATTATGGTACAGTTGGATGAAATAAACAATTCAGGTAGCTTCAAATGTTGGCTGTGTATATGGCTACACAACCTAGCAAATCCGAGGCGAATGCGAGAAGTCACGGAAAAACAAAAGATTAGTAGCTTTCAATTAGAAGCTTTTTCGTGACACCGTTCGGAGAAGGAAAGCAAACGGAGGAGATATCACAGTTACGGGAACCAACCAGTAACCGAAACCAAAATCAACAAACCGAGTCGCACAGATGCCCGGTAGAACAAAGGCGAGACTTCGGCGCAGCTGAATTACTTATCCACAGAGCAGTTCGAATATCGTATTTTAGGGACTCGTGCGCATCGTAAGGAATTCTTCTACTACAACAAAAGAGCGATCGCGTAGAGGCGTTGGATAAATACGAATACACGGAACGAAGATCACGGACAGCATTTTTCGAGACTTGAAGTAATGAATCACGTTTCCAACAAATGTGAATGTATCGTAAAACGAAACTGCACCTTACTTAACCTTTTCTACCGACCTTGCCTACATATTGGCTTGTGAGAGCCATGACTTATAGATCGCCTAGTAGGGCAGGTAAGTCTACCAGTACGGGAAGATTGTCTGGATTCATGCATCTGAAAGCCTTCTTACGATTGGGGTGGGTACCTCGAGTTACGACCGGTTGCCCATCCCTTGCACCCATACGACTAAGTGTCTTAAATGATTTCTGCTGAGAAAGCCGGACTCGCTGCCCTCTCGTGGTGGTGTCTTTCCATTGAAATGAGGGAATGAAATGTCAATATCCAAGGCTATAATCGAGTCGATGAACCAGTGGGAGTTGAGCAAGGGGAGTTGGCTAAAAACCCTGATTCCAAACCAAGTGAGAAGAGGCGTACGAATCACATTCATCCATAGCTTCGTGGTCGTGGTCACCGGACCCAGTGGGTTTTCACATACCGCCCCGCTGCCTTGCGGGTCAGGATTTGGTTAACCGAAGGCTCCCGTTGTGAACACCCTAAGGAAATTCCATTGCTTTGGTCGGGGTAACCCAGCAGTATAATTCCCTCAAACAAATAATGGACCTTTTTCCTTTTTTAGAAAGATTATTGTACCATGATTTGTTTGTCACACAGTCTGAACTCGGGCGTGTGAAAAAGTAATATAATGTTGTCTGGGCTCATTATGATCAAAATCAAACTACCGAAGATCAAGTAAAAGCATCCATTGAAAATATACGAAGATTAATTTTATTTTTGGGAACGTCAAATCGCCTATACATTTATATTTTGTATTTTCACACACGTCTGAATTCAGACTGGGTGTTAAACAAATCATGGTACAGTAACCTTTATGAAGAACGTCTAATAGCGTACTGATTGACGTTCAAAACCAGATCTTAAACGAACCACCAATTATGTCCAGATCAAAATTTTTCGGACAATTTATTGAATTTTTATGATTGCTGATGTGTGGGCAGAGGGGATCAAACGGTAGCGGGTAATAAACTTATCGCTCTGGAAATTATATAATCCAAGCGGACCATCGCGGTCTAACTTGCCCATTTCTTTGTAATTGTTGTGTCCGCCTGTCTATCATCGAATCTCGCTCCCAGAAACGATTCCCGTTTAAAGACAACTGCAAAACAGTGCGAACATCTAGTGGAAGCGACAGAAAAGTGAGTGCAATAATGGAGAAGTGTGCTATATTTATACGATTACACACAAGCTATATTTTTTCTCGAATGGAAAACATGAGAACACTGATGGAGCGAATGGATCAATCGGATTACAGTACTCGGTCCGTCCATCAATCCAGTAACACTGAGAAAACACAGGCAATTTACCCAGGGCGACGATTGGTTTAAGTCCATTTCCCATTGATAAAATGGGATCTTTTTGTCGTTTGTGAAAAGTTCATTAGCCTCGGTGGGATTCGAACCCATGCATGGACGCCGTATACGCTTTTGTGCAGCGCACGCTCTACCAGCTGAGCTACGAGGCCCCACCGATAGCACTGATCTTTTCACATTCGAATTACCCATCCAACTTACAGAGGCATGTGGCATCCACCAGTTAACATGTAAGCTGACTGCCCCGACAGGTTCTCCTTAGAATTCACCGGAGCCCACCGAATGAGCTTCTAAGGCAAGGTTAATTGTTCCAATTGTTAACGGGTAATTCGAATGTGAAAAGTTCAGTGCTATCAGTGGGGCCTCGTAGCTCAGGTGGTAGAGCGTGCGCTGTACAGAAGCGTAGGCGGCGTCCATGCGTAGGTTCGAATCCCACTGAGGCTATTGAACTTTTCAACAAACGACATAATAAATTCAAACCTGCGAAAAAGCAACTTGAACAAAATGGGAATTCCCACAGGAAAATTGTTTCCCCGACATTACCACAACAAACCTTTGGAATGGATATTTCATCTTTCCTCAAGGATGTTTGTACAATCATATACTCAATAACAGGATCGAGAAAGAAAGATAAAAAACCATAACACTCTCCTATCCATATTAGCCTTTTTCTTAGAAAAATCTTCAAGGAAGGCACATCACAGTGAGAGATTTCGCAATTTTACCAGGAGGGGATATCGATTAACAATTGGTTGATTCGAAGCTTGAATAAGCGAACCGAAATACCTTTGCCTCACCACACTGACGACTTGAGAATGGCCTAGAGATAAAGCTTCGCCGAAAAAAACTACACGATTTTCCTATTACATACATTCGTGTGATGAACAGCAGATGGAGAGGACCCCATAAACACAAAAACCTGCTGTTTAATGATGGGGGCTTGGATTGGAGAACCACATAAGGCTTCCCCGGGTCAGGTGTGGTATTGAACCAGACTACAGTGAAGCTGTCTAATACCAAATTTGGGTGGTGGTGGCAGGGGTTGAACATCGGGTTATACGGTCCAAAGCACGCCAGTGACAGCGACTAAAGCACTGCGCGACCACCACCACCATGGGTTTGAATGTCTATGAAAACTATTTCTTGTACAAAATAACACAATATACGGTATGAATAATGAATGCTTCATCGGAAGTGAGAGAAATGCACACAAAAAAGACGAAGGCTAAACAATTCTATTCGTCATAGAATTAAAATAACAAGAGGGATGCTTACCTGGCCCACTTTTCGAACACGATCCATGACATAACTTGGGTCGCAGATCACTGTATCACATCGAGCAACTTCACCCTCGGCTTTTACACCAACAACTTTTCCGCCCTCCATGACTATTTCTTCTACGGGTTTGTTAAGCATGTACGTGCCCCCGTAAACCGCGCTCAACCGAGCAAAAGCTTGAGGCAGTTCTCCCAAACCATAAAGTGGATAGACGTAGGGAGACTTGCCGTAACGAGCTACGGATTGGTTGTACAATTGCATCCGTTTAATTGCATCATCCGCCGGAACGTTACGTTTGTAGGAATCATCGGGATATAAACACAACGCGTGGCTCACAAAATTCTGGTAGTCAAAAACGAACGGAACAAGAAGTGGTAACAGTTGTAAGAAACGTTACATTGAACATCAAGAGGAATCAACGTTCGTGTGATTCAACGTAGTGAGGAGTAAACTAGAGACCGTGTCCGAAAACCATAAAAATACCGACCCATTTGGTAATGCAGAAGGTCGAGTGTTTCATAATAATGATTATTATTATATTTCACACTCATCTAAGTCAAACAAATCATGGTACAATAATCTTTACGAGAAAATGTTCCATGATTGGCTTGTAGGCTGAATACTGCCAGGTTGCCCAGGTCAAAGCAGGTGAATTTTCTTAAAGAATCCACAACCGGAGCCTCCGGTTAGCCAAAGCCTGACCCGCAAGGTAGTGGTACTTTGTGTGAAAACCGCGGTCCATTGGAGGCCAATGTCCAATTCATCGGATCATACACCCTTCGGACGGGGTCAAACGTCCAAGGTGCTCAATACACCTCGATACCCAATCGAACCGGTGACCACTGCCACAACCAGGAAGTTGTGTATGGTTCGTACGCCTATTCTTATTTGGTTTGGCATCAGGGTCTTTTTGCCAACTCCCGTAGGTGAACTACCAGTGGTCCACCAACCCGAGAACGACTATCCACACCCAACACAACAAA